ATGTTCAGAAGCTTGATTGATGCCATCTTGTGCCTCACATTCCCTCAGGTAGTAAAACGGAGTGGCAAAGGTCAGATAGTCAGCTCAAACATGGTTGAGATGGTTGATGGCTTGAGATATGGACAATTTGGTGCATTCCATGTTGATAGTTGCCTGTTTCCAGCTGGATCAATGCATAGTTGATCAGGGGAATGTGGATCTGAGGGATGACCAGTTGAGGCGTGGGGAAAGAGTGCCTGATGTTGATGGTGATGTTCTGAGTGGGAGCAGGGTTGGTCATTTTTGGTGTGTTTTCCTGCTACCCATTAGTTCATCTTATACATAACCAAGTAATGACTTACCTTGGTTATCCACTGATGTTCTGCAGTTGTTGCGATGGACTTGGCATGTGAGCAGCAGATCGAGATCCCATATTCAGGCATGTCTACAGAACCAATATCCAGGGATGCTCACACTGCCACTCATCTACACAATGTTAGTCCTTGTCCCTTACATGAATCACGTGATGTGCCATGTCAACAAATGGTGACTTACCTTATTCAACTTTCACTGTCCTTGTCTTTACTAGGATGCCTAGCATCCCAAATGCCAGTGAAAAAAGCACAGTGTGTAGCCTGTCTCCCCCTCACACCTCCTGTTTTGAACAATTTGTAAGCTGTCATTCTCCTCAGCATCTCTCCTCTATCCCTGAACCTCATGCATCAACCCATGCATCAAGTCGATGATGAGGGCATTGAATGCACTGCTATACTGGGTTCACATGTAGGGCATGCCTTGGTGATTGTTTGGTGATGTGAAGTCACATGATGCACTCCCTTAAAAACCTTCTCTGCAATTATCATTCAATCAGTGATTCCTCAACATTGTTCAGCAAATTAGACTCACAAAGATGTGTCATACTACATTTGCAATGCAGCATCATTCCATCCTTGCTGAACAGCTCCTGGAGCTTGACTGGCACACTCTATCATGTCATGATGCTTCTCAACCCTGGTTCCTTTGCCACCATCACTAAGCATTATCCAAAAAGGCCCACCCACTGTGCTCACCCTTATACCATGTACCATTCCCTTATCTGGCTTTCCTTTGAGACTGACATTGTGGGGATTCGAGTTAATCCAGCATGTTGTGAGGCAGCAGTGATAACAGAGCAGAGGATGATGTGTTGCAACAGCAATTGCTGCTTGGTTTCAATTTTGAGTCCGCTCAACACCACCCCACAACACTTCCATCCTTTTATTGGCTGATGATAAATTGACCCTAACTATGTCATGGTATTTTGGTGCAAACTATGTACTAACCAGACCAATATTAATACCTGGCCTGGCATCATTACATTCCTCCCTCCACCTGTAAATTTTATGAGAACACACAAGAACATATCCTTTCACCCCACTAGATGTCTGTCAAATCAATGACTTCCACATCTGACCTCATTTCTATCCTTCTCTTTTTCCATGGTCCAACATCATTTCCCTCCTCATGCTTGCGACATTTACCATTCCTCAATGGTACAATGAAGTGTTCTTGCTTCTTCTTCCTACCTGTGGAAGAAGGTCCTCCACCTGCAGCAAATCTTAGACTGCCTCACTTTCAATATGAAACCATGCTTCCCTGTTGATTTCTCTGTCCCCTCTCCACCTGTTCCATGCCTTTTGTTTGTTGCAACCTGGCACCCATATGTGTGACCCCTTTTCTTCCCAGGATTCTGCACTGCCCAGAAGTCAGTTTGTCTTCAAACATAGGTGCTACCCCTCACCTTCACCCTTGCCATTCTTGGGGCCACAGACCACCGCCCCTGATTGGGCCTGCTCTAAGATCATCACCATCCTCTCATATTCAACACCAATATCTAAACCACTGGATGAGCAGGCCACACTCTGCCCTGCTTGAAGCAGCAAAATTGATCCATCTGAGAGGTCAAATACATCATTGGATGCAACATGATTCCACACCCAGGCATCAGCCATATAATATTTGATGTTCTCTTCTTCCATGATAGCCAGTTCCTGGCAGAGATCCAAATGCTCAAACAGCCTGAAATTGCTCTTGCAAGGGCCCTCCACTCAATAGGGGGTAAGAACAGCATAGCTTCATGAATATAATGGTCACAGTTGAGCTGAGACAAACATCACTGAGGTCCAGAAAAAAAACTTTAGCTCCTTCCTCTGCCTCCTCTTCCATATCAATCATGGAGGGCTGCCTCTCTCTTTTGACCATCATCTTCAAATCTAATCCCTCTTTCTTGTGGGCACAGCATTCTCTTTCCTGGTTCTTTCATCCCTTGAAAGGCAATGACCATGGTGGTGACGAAGGAGGCAAGGTTGAGGAAGGCATATGGCTGTCTGAAGACATTGGACATGGGGAGGATGAGACAATGGAATGAAGTTTATCATGTCCCAGATGATTGCAGCCTGGGCAGCAATTGATGCATGCCAAGAAAGGACAGTGATGATTGCCCATCTTGTGACAAGCCAGATTTGAACAGTGAATTGCAAGGCCATGCACTGGGAACAACACTGTCATTGGATCTATATTGGGTGTTGCCGCAGTATAGATGGGTGGGGTGGACATCACATGACACCAAGCTATATCTGCCTGCCAATGGGACTAGTGGGAAATACCACCCTGTTTGCCATCACACTGAATCGCAATGCATTAGTCTTTCCCATCCTCCCCTTTAGGTATCACAAACTCACCGCCTGGAATGAATGTCCTTTATTTTGTGCCGTTGACAATATCATAATCTGGGGGTGTATACCACTCCCACAGACTCTGCACACCTCATCTGATCAAGGGCTTCTGAACAGGACAGGTGTGACTGCTGTCATTTCAGATATTGTGCACTGTGCAATTTTCAGACGAGGGTTGCTTGAACTGCTGAGGATACTGGGTAAATGTTGCTGGCCTTCTTATGTATGTTCCCTTTTTTTCTCCCCCACAGTTCCCTTGATCCCCACATATTGCACTTGTAGTCCGATCAGCTGCCATTCCTTCAGCTGGGCTTGGGCACCCACTCACCAACCCATGCAATGCATAAGATGGGTTTCCCAGGAGATATTCTCATTCCAGACTCCTTGCACACTCCATGGTACCTTGCCAAGTCAATCACCAATGAGCCACTGTTGCTAATGTGACAAATTTCCCAGCTCTTCTTTGGTATACTCATTTCTATGTAAAGCAAGTGACACTGGGATGTTCATCAATGAGAATTTTCAATTCCCCATGGACAACAGCAATACCTGCGATAACTGAGATCATGCCCATTCAGGGGCCATGTCTGATACATGGAGAGCAGGTTCAAAGAACCACTTTTGACACTTGGCTGTGCTTTGTGATCAAAACGGGCATGTGAGAAGGAAAGGTTTATTGCAGGAGACAATGGGAATAACCCTGACAACCCCTTGCCCTCCAATTGGATGAAGATCCCAGGTTGGCAGCCAGGTCAATAGCCTGGTAAGTGGGAGGGTGTACATCAGGTTCAAAAATGATGTCCACAGAGAGCAAGCATGCTGTCCTGGCAACCAGGATTGCCTGAAACATCTGGGCTGCTTGAGGGAACAATTGTGCTTCAATTGGAAACTGATTGAGTGTTTAGATAGAGAGAAAAACTCTTCCATCCATACTTTGCCAGTTTGCAAAAGATATGCACCTGCTTAGCAGCATAAGCTGATCAGCCCTGGTTTTCTGTGTGGGTGGACCAGGCAATCATGGATGCACCCCAGACTGCACTGTAATACTCGAAAAAGCAGGTGGCCCACTTCATCTCCACTTCCAAGAGTTCTACTTCCTCTTGACCCCATTGTATGGCTGCATAAGCATGCCACCATCCACTGGCGGAATGTCTCAGTTCAACCATAGTGAATGTGAGCTTGGACTGATCAGCATCACTCCATTTGTCCTCTGTGTGTGCCAAAACAGGCCCCTGACCCAAACATAACCTGTGTATCCACTGGATGTGAGGTGATATCCACATGGTACCTGTCTTTGCATTGAAATGGTGAGTTTCAATATCAAAGTCTTCCAGTGAGCAGTATCTCAGATCATAGGCTGATAGCCCTAGGCTAATCATGGTGTTCCTTGCATGTCAATAGGAATTTGCATGGTGTTTCACCAAATGATGCTGAACCATGGTCTGTTGTGCTCTGGTCTTCAGCCCCACTGCTGATGCTTTGATCCTGATCTTGTCTCTAAAAAGGTATTGCAACTTCATCACTTTGATCATCTGGCCAATTGCATGTTCTGCCTGTGCCTTCCTCAATCTCATTTCAATGTGAGCAAGGTGTTCCAAGTTCATTGCAGCTCTTGCTTGTGAATCAAAGTTTGATGGTAGACTGATTACATCAAGCTCAGGTAGACTCTCTACAGAAGTTGTTGATATATTTGCCAATAACATTGGCATTTGACATTGTTGTTGAATGCACCATGCATGAAGCTGGGGCAGGAGACTGGCCCAGAGCTGGTCTGCTTCTGTATTGTCTGCATTGTTCCCACCCATATGCTTCAATTCTTTCAGTGTCTGTTGGATAACCAGCCTAGGATAGATCAAGACCCCAACAAGGAAGTCTAATGTAGATTCTGCTTACAGACACTCCTCTAGTGATATCCCAAGCTGGATGAATGAGACAGAGTCCCCCATCTCTGCCCTTCCTATTGCTGCAGTGATAGAATCCAAGGTTGTTTGCTCTTCATCAGGCATCTGGTCAGCCATGTGTCTTTGAGATGGTACTGAGATTCTTTTAGTGTTTGACACCATCACAGATGGGTTAAACACACCTGCTTCATCTGGAAATTGGTAAATGCTGAAGAATGTCCCATTGTTTCTCTCAAAGTATTCTGGTTGCTTCTTCCATCAGTGTATACAATGACCAAATGCAACAGTAAGATTGTCAAAGTATTCCTTGCAGTGTTGCAAATGGATCCTTGCAGAGATCATCCTTTGACATAGGAACGGTACTGCTTGCAATTGTTAGACCCTATGCAGAAAAGTTAGTTTTCAATTACTCACTCATATCTCGCTGTTTCTTCCAATTCCAGTTGACAAAGTGCACTTCCAAGCAGTCCAGACAATGACCAGGATTCATTTCCTTGGTGCTGCCCCCAAGTTGGTTATGCTCCACCCAAGTTCTCTCAACTCCCTCACCATCCACCCCAGCAGCTCCCAGTTTGAACAAGAGAGAGAAGTGATAATGACACTGCTTGCAATGAGCATATTCATGCATTTTGGGCATGACAAACATGATATGATCCCAGAGCAGCACCAGGTGAGGAAAATGCAATTTCATCCTTTCTTTCCACTTAGGAGACCACATGCATGCCAAGTCATATGACAGATATATGACTGGCAAGGCCTCGGCCCCTGCAATAGCCCCTGCAAATGTGTAATTGACATTCGAGAACCTTGTCCATGTCAGGATAGTATATGAGATGCGTTGAGAAATGGACACACCTTCCCCAACCTGCAAATCCACCATCCCACCCAGTCTGTATAAGCTGTGGCATAAGCAACTCCAGGAGTACACACTGGAAGAGTGGTAACCAACATTCCCCTGGAATAGCATGGATGTTTTGAACCCACTGCAAGTTTGAGCCTAAATACTGGACTCAGCAAAATTCTCAACCAATCCATCCCAGTAGATCCACTTACCAACTTCATGTCTTTGTGGGTCTGGATGTAGTTGCTGAAATGTGCCTGGTCTGGGAAAAATCCTCAACCATGCAGCAGACCCACATCTTTGGTGTCAACATTTTTCTTCTTTGCCAAAAGGGTGAAGTTCCCATCTCCACCAAGATACAGTGCAACAAGGTGTCTGTTACTGACTTAGATGCTCACATCCAAAAGAGGGATTCAGATAGTATGCACAGTTTGTCCAGGTCAGCTTGTGCCAATTCTTCCTTGGAGATATTAATACTGAGCTGTGGGCATGCTGGACATAGTGGACTGCAAATTCGACTAGCTGCAAATGGAGGAAGATTGTTGTTGACATCATGTGCTTCCCCACAGCACTGGGATGCCTTGAGGTCCATCCATATCTGGCTTGCATGGAGCAGCTCTTGATAATGATCATTGGTGGAGGCCAGGACAATGTCACTAGTTTGCCTTACAAGTTTTGCATAGTAGTCATATGCAGATTTCTTCGAGCAGAGCATGTGTAAATGAAAATCCTTCATGACAGTATAGCTGAAAGCCATCTTTGGGTTGTCGAATGTCACAGGGAAAAGGTTTGCACAAAGTAGCTGAATGTAGTGATTTGGTCCTCTGGGGCATTGACAGAATCCTAGTAACATGTTGTGGATGCCATTGGCATGGATCACCACAAACAGTGTGGAGGGTGGCCTCAATGATGCAGGACAGGCCACACTGTTGTGCCCTAGACAAATGAGGAGGCCCAAGTCACATAGTGACTGGCAAGCATAGAATTTGCCTTGCCATACTTCTGTCCAATGAAATGGATTGTGCACATGAGAAGTTACTTGACATGAAACACACAGAGGGGGGGCTTGAAAACAGTCCCTGCATCTCATTGTGAGTTGCATGGGCTGACCACACCATGTGCAAGCAGAGTTTGTTGTTCCTGCATAGTTCCGAACCAGTTCTTCAGTAATGATTGATCATCTTGCTTCAAACTTTGATATAAAGTCAGAATACACCTGTACACATTGTTAGGAAGACCGTCAAAGTGCTACAGACTTCATACCTCTGTTTCACCCACTTTAACTGGCTCCTTCTGGATCTTAGCTTCAATGAGAGGAGGTGCGGGACACTCCAACTCTAAGAACATGCCAATGGGAATGTTCTTAGAGTTCGCAGATCATCCAAAGATGTGGTTACAAGGAGAAGCAGGATTGTTGATGATAAGAATATCAGGATTCTTGTGCTTCCTTGGACTCATGTTAGTCACTTATGTTCCACACTGCAGGCAACAAGGATGGGAACCAATGTAGAGGTATCCTTGCTCCAGAGTGCCTTCCTATCCTGCCATAAATTGATGCTGCTTGAGTGAGATACTGGCACCAAAAAAGGCAGTCAGCAGGATGCCACATGAAAAGCCCAACACTTTTCCTGCCACTTAGGACCCTTGGTTCTCTCCACATTGCCCCTACACAACTGCCATAATCATCAGTTACATAAACACTAAGGGGCTGACACTCATTTTAACCTCACACATATTAATATTCTCAGTGTTCATACTCTTTCCTATGTCACTCCCAGGTCTCAATGCTTCTTCCTTGCAATCTGCACACCAATAGCTCTATAAAATGCCCAGATTTTCTCTGCAGACTTGGACAACAATCACCACCTGGTTGACACCTGGTGCACTTCAAGGATGAGCACAGGCAATGGCTTTTGGAACGCTTGCCTGCTTTTGGAGCTCATGCTGATAAACATCAAGGCAAAAAAATTGCCCACAGTATTGCAACTGTGTTCCAGGCTGATTTCCCTGATTATGTCCCAAAGAGAGAGGTCGATTCCATTGACCAGGTATGTGTACTCTGTCTCTCATTAACTGATATGCACATTGACATCATTGCTTCAAGCAAATCTACATCTTCTTGAAGAATAATCAAGTGCACACTGCTGATCCCCTACAGAAGTTGCCTGTCCCTCATGCGAGACATGCACCACTTGTCAACCAAGCATGTGAACTAATGGTGACCAACATTCCCAACTTCTCTGATCGACTCACCAAACACACCATGAATGCCAGTAAAACCATCTTCCAAGTGTGACCTGAGTTCTTGAAGATGTATTGGGATAACAAACTGTCAGAAGAGCAATGCAGAGAATATCAGGATTGTGCAGAACGCCGGAGGGAACAGATGAAACAGTCAAACACTGCTGTTCAGGGTACTTGAGGGTATGTTGACCTTATCACTCAATAACCTCAATTTAAATTCATGAGCTAGGGCACCAGACACAATATTCAATACCATTGCCACCATTCAAAAAGCCCTGCATGCACACACTGGGTGGGTGTTCTTTACTTTAGCTGGAGGGGTTGACATGAGTGGGGCAAGAACAGCAACACTGTGAGTAGCCATAGCATGCAAGTGTTCAATGGTTGAACACTCTGCAGTGTTGATACTGGCCGGACACCTAATGGGCTTTGCTTCTCTGACTTCCATTTGCAATTCAATACTGATATTCATCATCCATGGGTGGACTTTGTGAAAACCACTGGTTTGTGTCTTGTCTCAAACACAATGTTACTGTACTGATTCCTGATTTTCTAGTTCCAAACTCTCCACATGATGCCACTGCCAGAGTCTTGCCCACTCTTCAGTGCCCCTTTCTTCTGCTGCTAGATCCTGCTTGGAATTGTTTGGAGATATCAGTTGTCTTATGCACCTTTTTGTGACACCTGCATGGTACTTGTTCTTCCCTGCACCTGGCAGATCCTGACATGTTGCATGTTAGAACACAAGATTGGGCAGTTGGAAATAGAATGGCCAACAGCCAGAGTAAAGCCTGGACATCTCCTGTCCACAGTTTCCTTATTGGACCCTGAAGAAATGTCCTTCATGGAGCTGCTCATGGTGAGCATATGCATCTCTTGAACATATAATGTTGGTGTGCTCATTCAATTATTATTGTAGAAATGCAGATACTCTCTGTTGGAGCACAGGAGAGCCCATGTCCCCTTTGGAAAGGCTCCAAGAAGCGAAATGCTTCACACAAGGGGTTCTCTAAATGCTCAAGGAAAGCAGCAAGAGGTCAAGGCAGGTACAATAATCAGAGTATCCCTTGTGCTCATGTTGATCATCCTGCACCTCAGGCCTCCCAAACAATCTATTTCACAGTGCAGTCCATACAAACTGAAGTAAATACAATGTGACAACACATTGCCATTACATGAGCTGACATGTGCAGGAGTCCATATTGAAGGCAGTTGCCTGATACAGCATCAGTGGGACAGGGGTAGTGTACTGACAGGAGATGATGTGGGTGTAACAAAAGAGACACACTTGGCTTGTCACATACACTAGCTATAACATCTACATTTAACCTTCTTCTTGGAACATCTGTCTTTGTAATCATTCCTGTAATGTGAATCTCCAAGCATGTGGCATGCATGGAGATTCGCCCACCACATGTGTCTGTTGCCCTTGATGTTTGGTGTCAACTGATGAAGTTCATATGGCACTCATCAGCTACCATCAGGTACACCTTCATCAAGATCCTCCTCCTCCCACAAAATCCACTCACTGGCCTCTGTCTGATTGTCTTCGCTCTGCGCATGTCAGTTTGACTGCCATGATCATGTCATTGATCTTCAGCAATTTGGTAGGCAGGCAAAAAAGGATCTTCATCCTTGTCAACATACTTGTAGCATCTGACGATCTCTTGCCAAGGCCACCACAATGGGGTATCTGGAATGGCCAACTTGCAAGATACTGTAAAATCCATGGTATATAGTTTGACAATGTCTGACACAAGGAACATCACCCCATTTGTACACTGCACCATTGGGGGATTGCTCAGTTCAGCCTGATCTCAACTGATATTAGATGGATACTATCTGGTCCCCTCAAAATTCTTACCTGGTGCCAAATCTTTGAAGCAAAGTGTCCTGTCCCACATTCCAATGTTTATGGCCCACTGCGACATGGTGGACCATTGGTATGGGTGGTCATGACAACCCGGTAGGGGGATGTAATGAGTGATCCTGACAAGCACATGCTTCTGCTGCTTCAGTATTTTTGGCAGATGCTGCCACAGACAATGGCTGCCCAAATTGATGTCTGTTCAAGCATTAAGTACAAAGGCACAAGCACCCAGCCAGAAATTGAAATCATTGTGCAAGAGAGCATTGCTGGCCTTGAGCAGAATATAATGAGGAGGGCGATCTGGCCAAGACTGTTGGGTTGATGAGTGGAGGTTGATGGGATTTTTTTTGGCCACAGTAAAGTGATAGACACCGTAACTGGGGAGAGGAACATGTGAGCCATTGGCCATTTGGAATGTTCTTGTTCCTGGGATCTTCAGTAGGTCCCAAGGCCTGGGAGGCAGTCCATTGTCAGTGAGTTGTACAGGGGGGCGTCAAGCATCTGTGACTTATTGCATGCATCTCCTGATGAAGGAGGATGCTCAGGACAAGTGGATCCAGGCTCAAGCATGTGGAGATGATTGCATATGCAAATAGACTTGTGTTGGGATGGTACCAAACGAGTGGCCCCTATGATATACAGACTCTCAGATGCCTCCCTGAGAAACAATGCTATAACATGGTAAATTTACATCCACATATGGTGATATAGAAGATGCACATGCTACCAAGTTGTCAGCCCCACTCAGGAAACTATTGACCATTGCTTCCAAATGATTATGGAACTGGCAGCACCATATGCCGCCAGTGTGCCCAAATCCATGGGCATGTGAGGACTCAGGAGAGTCAGGGCCTATAGATCTGCCTTGAGATGGAGATGAAACAGAATGCTTTTGTCCACCATTTGGACAAAGGGTTCCTCCAAGATGCTGTGAATGCATGAGTGCATGCTGTTGATTTGGGCTCAACTGAGAGTGTTTGATGCTGCCAGGGCCAGGTGTCAGTGCAAAGGGGGGATGCTCCTGCTGATGGATTGCTCTCTGGACATCTGGTATCAGCAGTGGTTGAAGAAGACAGGGGAATGCCTTAGATCCCATAGTAAAGGACATTGCACACCAGAGAGTGTTGCAGGATAGATACAACTCAGATGCTGGTCAGGGTGCTGTCATCACATAAGCACTGCCATCACTGTGCCAGCCTTTTCACAAGTATGACTGTGCCTGATCACATTCATATATGTGCAGTTGGTGGACAATAATGATAACATGGGAATTGTACTAATTGTGAAAGATTCAGTGTATGATCATGTAGGTAATGTAATATGAATGCCCACGGAATAAGTGCCTACTTCTTCTGCCCATTGCTCATGTTCTCCATGCTTGCTGCTTTAACATGTGTGTCCTCATCAGCAAAAGTATTGATCTGGTGGCACACCCCATGGACAGTGATGTTGTCCAGCTGGGATAGGATAACTCCCACTTTGGGCTCCAGTGCAGATGACTCAGAAGATGCAAGTTCACTTGAGGATTGGGAGCAACCATTGAGAGAAGGGGTGAGTGGAATGCAAATAGACACCTTTGACTGCTATAGATCAACATGAGTGGCTTGAGGGGCAGAGCAATAATGTGCTACTGTCAGGGCCTTCAAGAAGATTGCCACATTCCATGCAAGCAATAGATGCTGAAAGCACCTCATCTGAGTCCTCCATAATGTCCAGAGGCACAGGAATACTCCAAATGGGACTGGCTGAACCTATGAAGCTGATTGAGCTAATGATAACCATGCTACCCTCGATGAGGTGAGTGCAGGCCACAAAGGAAGACCAGTATATGATATGCTTACCATATTCCCAAAACTTTGCAGTGAACATGTTTGCTGATCTTGATAATAGATAGTGGTGCAATTTTCTTCTTGGAGATGAGATTGTTCAAGTTGGTGGTCAGCATGATGGGAATGCTAGCAAATCCATCACTGATCTCCAACCTATTGTGTGATGTTTTGAGTTGAGAT